TCGGTGAGCGGCTCTGCGGCCCTCAACCAGGGTCTTTACCTTCACTCCCCCCCGGACCTCTCCTTCCCAGAGTCCAGGCTCCTCACACAGCAAAGCGTCAATCACAGCGTGCCACTCCGGCCTGACCCCTCGAGGCTGTGGACACCTGGCCTCAGACGCGCGCTGGGGAAGGGCCCGCACGGCAGTGTCCCCCTCTTTGAGACGCTGGGGACGCCGCCCACAGGCCCAGCGGGGTCTCCATATATTTAAAAGTATGACTGAGCAGAAGCCCCGGTTGGAGCAGGGAAAGGTTTGTGGAAATTCAATGTGTACTAAGATAACTCAGGAAAAATTACTTCAGACTCTCATGCATCGTATTCTGAGAACAAAGACATTCATGCAAGTAGGAGGGTGAGTTACTGAGACACAGTGAGGCCCACGTGTGTTTAGGCCAGTGATGGCGAACCTATGACACGTGTGTCAGAGGTGACACGCAAACTCATTTTTTTGGTTGATTTTTCTTTGTTAACACATTTCGTACCGCTCAGGAGTTTTCTCGTGTTTCGCGCGCCATCTGTTAAGGACCGCTCACGAGTTTTCTCGTTTTTCACGCCCAAGGAAAAAGGAGCGAATCTAGATACTTATGTAAATTTTGTTTGGTCCCTCTTCATAGAGGAAAATGTTTTACGCAGTACCATACGTTAAAAAAGTACTAGGAACTTTTATTGTTTAATTGTTTTTGTAAATAAAAATGTTATATAATTATTGAAAAACGACACCTAAAGTGCATTATGATGATTTAAATAAAGTGCAGTTTGCCCGAAAACGTGCGGTCCCTGGCGTATGTCTTAGAGATTTCTATGCGGTACGAAAGTTAAAATTTGAGGGAGTGGGAGGGGGGCGTGGCCTGCCGCTAACGCAGCTGCTTAGCCCCGCAGCCTCCCCGTGGCAGGTGCAGCCTGGCCTGGTGCTCCAGGACTTGGCTTGAGCGGCACCCTCGTGGCCCTCTCTTCGCCCCCCCATTCCCCCCCGCAAACGGGGGTCCTTCCAGGGCCTCTCTGGCTCCGAGGTCGTGGCCGGATTGAGGTCATGCAGCTGCGAAGGTGCAGAGCTGGGATCCCAACCCCTGCTGGTCTGCGTGCCAGACTCCCCAACATCCGAGTTCTGCGTGAGGGAAGGCTTATGGGTGGAGGAGGCGCCAAGAATCGGGGAGCCCTGGGAGTTCCTCCCACCCCACCTTCCAGGACCGACCGGGCTCAGGCTTCTCTTAGGTCCGGGCGAGGGGAGCATGGGAGGGGGGCAGCTTCGTAAAACTCCAAGGAACAAGATGGAGTCTCCCGGTGGCCATCGGGGTTTCGGGGGCTCGAGGTCACCGCCCTCCGCGCGGCTGATGTCCTTGGGCGAGTCCCTGCTCCCCGCTCCCCGCCCGCCCCTGCCCCTCGGGCCGCGCATGCGCAGTGCGGGCGCGCGGGAGGCGGCGGCGGCGGCGCCCCAGATGCTGCGCTCAGAAGCCCGGCCCCGGAGTCTGTCGCTCGGCGCGGGGCGTGGCGTTTCCTTCAAAATCCCGGGGAGCCCGATCCGAGCCCGCATCTCCCGGGGGCCCGCCGGGTCTTGCGGTTCTCGATGGCGCGGGCGGGCCGCCCAGGATCCGCGCTCCCTGATAAAAGCGGCGGCCGCCCTTCCTGACGTGAGACCCGCGCTCCCGCCGTCCGCCCGCCCGCGCGGCGATGACACGGCGCTGGCGGTGGCCGCGAGGCGCCGGGCGGGCCGTTTGCTGTTTGCTGACCGGAGAGCGGCCGCCGCCAGCATGGGCTGCGCCCCGAGCATCCACATTTCCGAGACCCAGACCGTGTACCCGGGCGCCCTGGAGGCCGAGGACGCGCAGGACCCCGCGGTGCTGCTGCCCGCGCTGCGCCCTGCTCCGTCCGGAGTCCGAAGCCTTGGCCACCACCAGCGGCGCCCTCGCCGCGGACCCCGACTCGAAGGTAAGGGCGCCGGGCGGGCGGGAGCTCTCCCTCCGGGCCGCCCCCGGGCCGCGGTGCCCAGGCCGGGCTCCCGGGTGGACGGACGGACGCCCGCAGCCCCGTCCCGCCGGGCAAGCGACCCGGGCCCCGAATGGGAGGGTGTTGGGGGGTGAGGGACGCGTCCGGGGCCGCGGGCGGCCGGTTTTCGGGGGAAGGCACCAGACGTCCCCGAGCCCCGGGGGCCCTCCTTGTGAACTTTGTCGGAAGGGCGCTGGGAGGCCCGTTCCCCTCCCCCCCGAGCGGGGACGGGGACCCCCCGGAAGCCCCGGTCGGGGGTGAAACTTTGGTTTCCCGGTGGAGGGAAGGGGAGGGGAGGGAAGGGGGCGCCGCGGGGCCCGCGCGCTGCACCCGCCGTCCTGCTGGGCGCCCTCTGCGTGGGGACCGTCCCCCGCGGCGCGTGCATTTGAGGTTCACGTCTCTCCGCAGACATGTGTGTGCTAAGTGCATGGAATTACAGAGCCCGACCAGGAACGCCGGCTTTGAAACATTCATCAGAACAAAGTTATTTTTTTTTTAATTAAGCAGTCTGACTGGTGGAACACATTTGTGACTTTGTCTTTTTTTTTTTTTTAAATAATTGAACATCTTCTCCAACGTGTATTGCCTTGGCTATGTTTTGTCAAAGTTTCTGGGCCTTAATCTTTGCTAAGTTTTTTTTTTTTTTTTTAAGAATGATCATCTTTTCTTTTTTCTTTTTAAAAAAAGGGGAAATAAAGTTCAGTAGGGCACACAGCAGCAGTTTTCCAGGGCTCTGACTTGAACTGTCACAGCTGGAACGTCTGCGTTGTTGATGTTTTACTAAACGAGGGGAGGCAGATTGGTGCGAATGGTCACAGGTGGTCGAAGAGCAGCATCCCTCTCACCGCAGCTGCTCAGAGTCGTTTGCAAACTTAACCTGCTTTTCTGTGCAAATTTAATCTGCTTTTCTGTGCAAACTTAACCTGCTTTTCTGTGCAAACTTAACCTGCTTTTCTTTTCAACTGAGGACTGGGAGACCACCGGAGCTTGAGGGCTGTAGCTTGGTTCGCGTTCTGTCTTAAATTTGCATCAGTAGTCATGATATTTTTTTTTCTATAACAGGTGGAAGTGATTTTCCCCACCCCTCCCCGTACATCACGTGAGAACTCACCTTGTTCTCATTATCAGAAGGTGCGCGCTCTCTGGGTAGATTCTTCAAAGACACACACACACCAGCAGTGGTTTTAGCCAGTGGTTCTCAACCTTCCTCATGCCGCGACCCTTGAATACAGTTCCTCATGTGGTGGTGACCCCCAACCATAAAATTATTTTCGTTGCTACTTCATAACTGTCATTTTGCTCCTGTTATGAATCGTCATGTAAATATCTGATATGCAGGATGTATTTTCATTGTTACAAATTGAACATAGTTACAGCATAGCGATTAATCACAAAAACAATATGTAATGATATATGTGTTTTCCGATGGTCTTAGGCGACCCCTGTGAAAGGGTCGTTCGACCCCCAAAGGGGTCGCGACCCACAGGTTGAGAACCACTGTTTTAGACTGTTGACCCAAGCTGCTCCGCATATCTGCATAATGCTTATCCATTAAGCCTACCTAACTGGCTTTTTTTTTTCTTTTTCTTTTTTTTTAAGCATTACAAGTGACGTTGAATCTGGAAACTTTTAACAGCTTTCAAGTTTTTTTGGCCCGAGTCTAATCTCGGTTTGTCTTGCATTAACTGATATTAAGCTTTTAGGCCATGACAGTAGCCTTTTTAGCGAGAGGCCTTTCTGTGTTAGTGGCCTTTTTGTGGCGGTGTGGCTGTCTTGAAATGCCCCTGGTGTCTTATAAGCCTCTCCAGTGCAGCAGCTTACCCTAAGTCTGTTATCCACAGGGCTCCGATGTTCCCTGACTTTCCAAGAGTCTTAAATTTTCTGTCCTGCTGTCAGACCATCGTCTTGATTTGGGTCCCACCAAAGTACATTTATCATGACAGTGCTTAATCCAGTGGCATGTGTATAGTAGGTGTTAAATAAATGTTGACCGAGTTTGTATGTTTTTTTTTTTTATTGGTAACTGAATGTTGAAACATTTTCAGTCACTGGAATTTGATTCTGTAAAACCTCCAACATAGGCATTAAGACTATATTATATTGCCCTAGCCAGTTTGGCTCAGTGGATAGAGCGTTGGCCTATGGACTGAAGGGTCCCAGGTTCGTTTCCGGCCAAGGGCACATGCCTGGGTTGTGGGCTTGATCCCCAGTAGGGGGCGTGCAGGAGGCAGCCAATCAATGATTCTTTCTCATCATTGATGTTTCTATCTCTCTCTCCCTCTTCCTTCCTCTCTGAAATCAATAAAGAAATATGGAAAAAATATATTATTATATCCAGGGGAGGGATCAAATTGTAAGTAACAACATCACAACCACAGACATACTATAGTCTCATGCTTGTGACTCACAAACTGTACTTGTTGATACCACATCTCAGTTACAGGTCTTTATAATTAGACATTTCCGGTAATAGGGCAGAGGTAAATATTGGCCTCTTTTTATTCAATATTGTTTCTTTAAGGGAATATATTAAATATACTCTGGAAATATAAAAATGCACGTTTAGAGAGGATAAACTGCCAGCAATTTAGCAAAATCGCATTATTTTACAATTAATTTGAATCCTTTTTATTAACATATCAAGATCCAGTTTCTGTTCATTAAAATTTTTCTTCTTAAAACAGTAAGCCAGCATATTGTTGAGTGATTTTCAGTAAGAAACTCATTGGGGGAAGTTTTTATATTTCTATAGCATAGAGTAAACACCAGTTCATCAGCACATGCTTGGGAGAGTGGTAATTAATTGCATTTTCAGATTAATTATTAAGCAGTGTATTCCCTACGCTGTAGTGATCCCACATGTGTTCCCTGAAGCAAGTTGTGTACTCTTAATAAGTATTAAATAAAAAAAATGGTTCACGGTCAAATAAATTTGGGAAATACTGGCTCAGACTAAGTTCTGCAGAATTCTTTCATGCCGGATTGGTCATAAAACTGAATTTTCAAAAACACACTGTGGCTCCCCAAATCATTCCCCAAACTTGCAACATTCCCCAAACTTGTTTTGATTACGGAGCCCTCCTATCGAGGTGTATCTTAGAGGCAGGCCACACATTAGAACAGGAGTCTTCAAAGTACAAGAAATACACTTAACAGGAAAGCTCAATAAACACAATATGCTCCTTAAAGATTCCAAAGGTACTTTAGGATCTTGTAATACACTAGGCTGGGTCATCTTTATGAACTTTATTTAAATATAACCAAAAGTACTCTGTGACTGTTGATTCATTTCGGGAGTTACTGCCTGTGTGGTTACCGATGATGAATGCTGTGTTCAGTTTTGTTTTGTTTTCAATTGGGGTGAGCGTTAACTGTAACATTTCGGTGTCTTCTGTCAGTTTTGGGATTTCCTCTGTTTTCCCTTTCCTTAGCTAGGACTTGAGTGGCCCCGAAAAGAGCTGAGTGTGTGGGGCAGGGTGTCAGAGGGGACCCTATATGCTCACCCTCCCTCCCTTTTAGCAAACACCCAAAGCACGGCCGTGACTGATGCCCTCCCCACCCTGTGTCGCTCGCCAGCTCTGTGGGGTGGCAGTCACGTCTGTTTCGTTCACTGATGTACCCCACAGGTCTTCACAGCCATTTGTTAAAGTGGAGAAGTGGAGACTTGTGTGCACCAGGCTGTCGAAGTGGGCAATCCACCCAGCCCATAAAAAAGGAGAAATAGAAACCAGCTCGGAGGCTGTAGAACTTGGACTTGATTTTGAGGAAATCTCAGGTTATTTGTACCCAGGGAACAATCTGTTTTCACCTTGGTGAGCAGAGTAGATTTCCCTATAAAGATTGAAGGGTCGGTGTAGTTCAGTGATGGCGAACCTATGACACGCGTGTCAGAGGTGACACGCGAACTCATTTTTCTGGTTGATTTTTCTTTGTGAAGTGGCATTTAAATATATAAAATAAATATCAGAAGTAGAAGTCTTTGTTTTACTATGGTTGCAAAGATCAAAAAATTTCTGTACGTGACACGGCACCAGAGTTAACACATTTCGTACCGCATAGAAATCTCTTAAGATATACGCCAGGGACCACACGTTTTTGGGCAAACTGCATGTTATTTAAATCATCATAACTACAGATCATAATGCACTTTAGGTGTTGTTTTTCAATAATTATAACATTTTTATTTACAAAAACAATTAAACAATTAAAGTTCCTAGTACTTTTTTAACGTATGGTACTGCGTAAAACATTTTCTAAAAGCGCCAGGAACTTGAAGACGAAGACTATTCGAGTGACCAAAATACAATGTAACTGCAATGCTTTATGGGTTCGTGCAATTATATAGTTTTTCGTAGATTGCAATGCTTTATGGGGTCGTGCAATTATATAGTTTTTCGTAGATTGACCTGCACGGTTTCCACCAAACAGATGGCGCGTGAAACGTGAAAAACGAGAAAACTCGTGAGTGGTCCTTAACAGATGGCGCGCGAAACACGAGAAAGCTCGTGAGCGGTACGAAAGGTGTTAAGTTAGGGTTTTTCAAAATGCTGACACGCCGAGCTCAAAAGGTTCGCCATCACTGGTGTAGTTGGATGAACAGGGCACAACAGGTGACAGAATAGCATAGCCACACACTGACCGAGGGCCACTGCCTCCAGCCCTCGGAATCCTCTCAGATGGATTTCTGTTTTGGCCATGTCCAGTCTTCACTCTGTCGTTCTCTTTTCCTCACCTCCTATTCGCTCTCTCTTTTCCCCACCAGCTTCTCCATCTTCCTCCCTGCCCGCCCAACCTTCCTCCACAAAACTGGCCAAACTAGCCATCTTCCTCAACCAAAGTTGCGTAGTTTCTCAGTGTTTCTCGGCTGTGGAATAAAATTTATTTCCTGCTCTTAATATACCAAGTGGATTAATCAAATCTTTATATTTCCCTAAGCTAAAGCAGATGTCTCTTTTTGTGTGACCTGACTGCTTTCCCCCCACTAGAGGTCATTGATCCTTGGTAGATTATATGCAAGTATAGAAAATTTCCCTCTGGAATTATAATTGAGAAAATGAGACACCCCCCTCCCCTTTCTGTTTCTGAAATAAGTGACTGTAATTTATCTCTGGAGCTCCTGGGCTGTGAGTTCTCTCATTATCCTGCACTTACACCTTTCGGTATATAGAATCTTATTATTTTGCCAGGCCTCTTATAGAGATTTGGCTTTTCATATTTTCTCCAATATCTATTCTATGTATACAAAAATCTGCATTTGTACTACATATTATGTTAGTGCTTAATATTTCCACCATCATTTTAACTGTGGTTTTTGAGATAGATGTTATGATGTCACAACTCTTATCAGCTCAGACCTGCCCTGGGCTGGCCTTGACCCTCTCCTTGCTGAAGGGACCACAGGCCCCTTCGCACAAGTGTTCCCTGTGAAGGAGCTCATGACGCTGGTTTTCCAAAACTGCGGGCTTGCCCATTTGGCTTGGGTTCTTCAATAGAGAAGGGTCCTGATGGGAGGCCACAGGGGGAGGCAAACATCTCAGAATAACCTATGATGCCTAAAGGACCAAATATTTTTTTAAATTAAAAAAAAAATCAAAGCACAGAGAGAGAGATTGCTCGGGACTTGAGTAATCCGTTGGTCTTGTCCAAGGCCAGTGACTTCAGCCTGGTTTCTCAATGCACTGAGACAGTGGGAGGCATTGGGCTCCGAAGTTCTTAGAGTGCAGACTATTCATATTAATAATGCCCACCATTTCCTGGGTGCCTTCTCTGCTGCAGGCGCTGTGCCGGATGGATGCCTTACAGATGTTACTTCATGGCATCCTTGCCGCCCCCGTGAGGTGGCTGCCACCTCTTCCCTTTTGCCAGACCGGCCGCTGATGTTGCAAACTCACCCAAGGCCATAGCCTTAAGCTGAGATTCAAATCCTTTGTTCTCTCACCCCTGGGAGGTTGCCCTCTTTAACTACCTGTCTCCATTGCACCTCCCGTTCTCCTGCTGTCTGTGCCGCTTCAGATGTCACCGGTCACCTGGGTTTTAAGCAGGTGCCTCAGTCTACCTGGTGGGGATTGTGTTAAGTCTTGAGTTCCCGGGGAACTTGGTTCCAGCCCTACATTAGGCTCCCATGTTTGTGGAAGTCGCAGCTGTGTTCAGCCCTGTGCCAATAGAGAGAACAAGATAGAAACATCGATGAGAGAGGAAAACATCGATTGTCTGCCTCCTGCACGCTCCCCACCAGGTATCCAGTCCGACACCCGGAAATGTGCCCCAACCAGGAATGGAACTGGTGACCTCTTGGTGCGTGGGTCGACACTCCACCACTGAGCCGCACCAGCTGGGCTGTGTTGTATATATATTTTTTTTAACATAAAGCCGGTATACCCTAAGCCAGTGATTAATCTGTGGGGTGGATAGTAAAGTTTTGCCTTTAAGATCTTGGCTGTATTAGGGTTGAGCATTCTTCCTGGGTCCCCGCCGCCTTTTCTCTCTCTGTTCTGCTCTGGTGAGAAGTGTGGTTGAATATGTTGTCAGCGAGCTGCTTTGACACGTTTTTCTTTGTTTCTGTTGACATTTTTTATATGACAGCTTCTCCGCTGCAGGCATCATCTGCAGTTTGCTCATCCACACAGACAGGAAGGATGTCATAAATTTCCCCAAACTTTGAGGGTGGCCCTACCGAACCCCAGGAGCGGGTGCTGGCCAGGCCTGTATTCTGTATGGGCTGGAAATAAACCTTCTGTGCGGTAGATTGATGCTCGGTTAGTGTCTCTGTGTGTCTCCCTTTCATGGCCCGCTAATGAGTACAGCAGCCACTTCAGCTTTTCTCACTCTGCCCCTGGGACACCCCAAAGGGCTGGTGGCGCGTCAGTGTCCACTTTGTCTTCAAATGTTTGGAGTTGACGGCAGCTCCCGCAGAGATGTGTTTGTAAGGATAACAGGTGAAGGAAGAGCCAGCGACAAAGGTTTAGGTCCAGCTCCATCAGGTGTTGGTTGTGGGATGTTTGCCCAGTTCTGACCCTAAGTTTTCTCGAGCATAAAATGGGGCTAGAATACCTGGGTCTTGGCGAGGACCACTCAAAATCACCTGTGCGGAAGTGTATTGTACCCCAAGGCACTGTCACACCTAAGGATTGGTCTTTTCTTTCAGTCATCTTTCTCAAAGGCAAACTTGGCTCAGGTACATTTGCTTATTTAAAAAAAAAAATTTAAAGTCTTTATTGTTTAAAGTATATTTGCTTATTTTTTAAAAAGCAGATCTCTTCCTTTGTAAAATATATTTTTGTTGTGTGGCTAAGTTGGCCGGTTCAGTTCCCAGTCCAGACACATGCCTCGGGTGTGTGCAGGAGGCAGCCCATCCATCTTGGGCTCTCACCTCTCTCTCTCTCTCTCTCTCTCTCTCTCTCTCTCTCTCTCTCTCTATCTCTCTCTCTCTCTCTCTCTCTCTCTCCCCCTCCCCCTCCCTCCCTCCCTCCCTCCTCTAACCCTCTCGCCCTCCCCCCTCTCTCCTGCCCTCCCCTCTCTTCTTCTCTCTGAAAATCAATAAAATGTGTTTTGTCTTTTCCCTAATATTATATTGTGAAAAATTTCAAACATACAGCGAAGTTGAATTACCTAGCTACCACCTGCAGCTAACAATTTCCTATATTGGCTTTATCACATCTCTCCATTCCTTAGTCCATCCAGCAGTCTGCTTTATTTTTGGATGCATTTTAAAGTAAGTTCACACATCAATATAATTAACCCTGAAACACTTTATTATGCATATTATTTAGGGTTCAAATTTTGTTTGTTTCTCTTTTTTTTGACAAAGGTATACATCTGTTTAATGCAAATTTGTCAAGATAAGAAAATGTTACCATTATTCCAGAAAGTTCTCTGTGCTTCTCCCCCATTCCTATTCCCACCCAGTGGCAGACACTGTTCTGATTTTTTCCATTATAAATTTTATTTGCCTGTTCTAGGCTTCACATAAATAGAATCTTCAAGTATGTATTTGGTGTAAGGCTTCTTTCACTCAGTGTAGTATTTTTGAGGTTCATCTATGTTGCATGAGTCAGTAGGCTTTTTTTTTCCTTGCTAAATAGTATTCTGTGTATGACTAGATCACATTTCACTTATCCATTCTCTCATTGATGGATACTAGGGCTGTTTCTATTTCTGTGCACTATTAAGAATAAAGCTGCTTGAATATTCTTATATGTATTACTTTGTGGACATATGCTTTCATTTCCCTTGGGTAAATACCAAGAAGTGGAATTGCTGGGTATAGTGTTTAGTGTTTTAAGAAATTGCTTGAACTTTCTCCAAGATGGTTATACAATTTCATACTCCTGCCAACAATGTATAAAAATTCTGTTGCTCTACATCGTGATTCCCAAAGTGGGCGCTACCGCCCCCCGGTGGGTGCTGCAGCGATCCAGGGGGGGCGGTGATGGCCACAGGTGCATTTGGGGGCGATGAGTAACTGCTATTAAAATTTTAAAAAAATTGATTTCCAGGGGCTGAGTAATATTTTTTTCTGGAAAGGGGCGGTAGGCCAAATAAGTTTGGGAACCACTGCTCTACATTCTTGCCCCCATTTGGTGTTATCAGTCTTTTAATTTTAGCCATTCTGGTGGGTGTGTGATGGTATCTCATAGTTTTGATTTGCATTTCCTTAATGGCTAATATTTTGGAGTACTTTTTATGTGCTTATTGATCATTTATATAACTTCCTTTTGAAATGTTAATTAAAAGGAAATATAAATATTGTCATGACCTCTGGGTACGGAAGGAATTATTAAACAATTTACACAAACAATCTACCAGAAATAGAAGAATTCATAAGTTCAATTTACCTTAGAATAAAGAAGTTTTCATCAAAAGAGAGTGAAAATTAAGGAAAGCCGTTGACAGGAAGAAGAAATTTGCAACACATAATACCAATAAAATATGAGAATCCAGAATATACATAGAAGTCCTACAAGTCAATAAGAAAAAGACAGCCCGTTTGAAAAGTAGGCAAAGACTTGAACAGGCATGTCCTTAAAGAGGAAGCCAGATGGCTAATCAGTGTATGCAAAGATGTTCACCCGCACTGGGGAAATCCAAACAAAAACCACAATGAGGTAACATTTTACACCCGTCAAATTGGCAGACACTTAAAAGCTGACAGTGTTTTGAGGAACTCTTCAACACTGTAGGTACAAGTGCCAATCAGTGCTACCACCTGGGGAAACCACTGTCACTATCAAGGAGAGTTGAGCATATGACCTAGCAGTGTCACTCCTGGGAACTCTTACACAAATGAACTGGAAACCTGTACAAGAATGTTCATAGCAGCATTTTATTTATTAAAAAAAATTTTTTATTGATTTCAGAGAGGAGGGGAGAGGGAGAGAAACTCTCTCAGTGATGAGAGAGAATCATTGATTGGCATGAGCCTGCAACCTAGGCAGGTGCTCTGACCGGAATCGAACCATGACTTCCTGGTCCATAGGTCGACTCTCAACCATCGAGCCACGCGGGCTGGGCAACAGCATTGTTTTTAATAAGCAAACTTTTAAAAAATATGTTTTTATTGATTTCAGAGAAAGGAAGGGAGAGGGAGAGAGAGAGACAGAAACATCGATGAGAGAGAATCATCCATCAGCTCTCTCCCCACTTCACCTACCGGGGACCAAGCCCATAACCCGAGCATGTGCCCCAACTGGGAACCGAACCTCAACCCCCAAGCCACATTGGCCGGGCAAGCAAACGTTTTGATTAAACCCAAGTGCCCATCAACCACGTAAATAAGTTGTGATATGCTTAAACAGTGGACTGACTAGTTTACAGCTTTGAAAATGAATGGATTGTAGCCACAGGTATCAACGCAGATCAATTTCTAAAACTTAATGTTGAGAGAAGTTATATGAGAACTTATGAAGCATAATTCCTTTTATTTAAAATTTAATAGCTAAATAGTATATGATGTGGGGTTGTGTATAATAGATACATAGATAATAAAGCTATAAAGAAAAAATACTACAAAATTCAGTTAGGTAAAGAAACTTTATTTTAGGGACTAAAATGATTAGGCTAATTTGAGTGCCTACTATAGAGAGTATAGGAGGGCTATACCAGGCCCTGTCCTCAGGGCACAAGAAGTCCTCCCTGGGAAGGTGTGGCAGGTCTCCGCCCAGGAAGTGATGGTAGTGCCACAGGAATGGATGGGTGCTCAGGGAACAGCCAGGAGCTTGGTCTGGATTGGTCATAAGGTATAGAGACAGGAAGGGAGGGGGGACTTGGACCTGGGCTAAGAAGGCTGGACGGGCGGGGGGGGGGGGGCGCCGCTGGACAGGTAGACAAGTGTGAGGGTGGAGGGGTTGCTTTGCTTTTGCAGACTGGGAGGGGGCTGACCAGGAATAGGATGGAGAGCCTGAAAGCCAGGTTGAGGAATTTGAAGTCCATCCCGTAA